CAGCAACAACATGCTGTACCCCAAGGAGGACAAGGAGAACCGGATCCTGCTCTATGCCGTGAGTCCGTCTGTCTATGTTGTGCCCCCCTGCCACTGGGACCAGTCCCAGTGTACTGGGCTATGTGCCCCTCAGCCCCCATGTGGCACTGGGACCAGTGCTGGGGCATACTGGGACCAGTCCGACTATGATAGAGGGCTGTGCCCACCCCCACAGCCTCCACTGGGGCACTGGGACCAGTCCCAGCACATCATGGGGCTGTGCCCTGCCCCCTCCCAGTTTGGCAGTGGGACCAGTCCGTAACCCCCTCTCTTCCCCCAGTGCCGCAACTGTGACTACCAGCAAGAGGCCGACAACAGCTGCATCTACGTCAACAAGATCACCCACGAAGTGGAGTGAGTTCGTTAGCAGTCCCGGCCACTTGGGTCCCAGTGCTTCCCACCCCAGGGAGGGGTGTTAGTAGAGACTAATTAATAAGGGAAAAACAATTAAAAAGAACTGGTGGGGCAATTAGTAACAAGGTAATTAGCAAAGTAGGAATTAGGTAACTAATATGAGAATAATTAGGGGGAAGTAGTGAGTGATTAATAAGGGGAGTCAAAGGAAAATAAGTGGAGGGCAGTTTATGGGGGCAATTAATAATGGAGAACAGTTGCTGGGTAATTAATAATTAGGAAAAGCATAATTGGGATAGTCAGTAGGAGTGATTGAGGGGCAACTAGTGGGTAATTAAAAAAGGGAGACAATAAAGGAGAATAACTCAAGGGCAATTTAATGTAGGAGCAATTAATAGGGGTAATTAATGAGGGGTATGCCAGGGTTATTAATAGCCTGGGGGTAATTAAGGAGGCTAATTAACACCCTGGGGCATCTCCTCGCAGCGAGCTCACGCAGATCATCGCCGATGTCTCCCAGGACCCCACGCTGCCCCGCACTGAGGACCACCCCTGCCAGAAGTAAGCTGGGCTGTGGGGACACCCGTGGGGGTGTAGGGACCCCCTGGGGACGCCTCCCGGTGTGGGGACACTGCCCTGCTGCCCCAGTGTCCCCCTTTGGGTGTCCTGTACCCTCCCCAGCTCTGCTGTGTGTGTCCCGGGCTCTCAGGCCCTTTGTCCCCACCCTGGGGTTCCAGTGTCCCCGTGGGGCTCTGACGTTCCCCCCCATAGCAACGATGTCCCCCATGGGACTCTCTTGTCACCACCGTCCACCTCTTCCCCAGATGCGGGCACAAGGAGGCCGTCTTCTTCCAGTCGCACAGTGCCAGAGCCGAGGTGAGGTGACACCTCTCACCCAAGCCCCCCCAAAGCTGTCACCGTCCCCCCCGCCGCCCCACTGTGACCACACCCTCCTCCCAACCTCCTCTAGGACGCCATGAGGCTCTACTACGTCTGCACTGCCCCACACTGCGGCCACCGCTGGACTGAGTGACTGCGCCTAGAGACACTCTCAGCCCCCAAAACTGCCCCAGATGGTGGCCATCGCCCCAAACCCTCCCCTGTGCCCCCCAACCCCGGCTCTGTCCCCCCCTGTACCCGCCAGGGTGGCATTTCAGTGGTAATAATGGTTATTTTTGGCAGTGGGATGTGTCAGTGGCTCTGTGGGGTGAAAGGAGGGGTGCTCTGTGGAGTTTGGGGGGGCTGCAGGGTGGAGGAGCAGCGCTGCACGGGGGACTTTAGGGTGTGTGTGGCTGCGGGGAGCTGTGGGGGGCAGGGTCTGTTCCCCTGTGGGGATGTCACAGCTGTAGGGCCCAAATCATCCATAGTGGCCCCAAATGACACATGATGGGCCCCAAATCGCACCCCTGGTACCCTAAGATGTCCCCATGGACCTTGAATTGCAGCTGCGGGGCCCCAGATTGCATCCCTGGTACCCCAAAATGTCCCCATGGGCCCTGAATTGCAGCCGTGGAGCCCCAAATTGTATCCCTGGTACTCAAAAATGCCCCCATGGGCCCCAAGTTGCAGCCGTGGGGCTCCAAATTGTCCCCAGTGGGCCCCAGATTGCATCCCTAGTACCCCAAAATGTCCCCACGGGCCCTGAATTGCAGCCATGGAGCCCCAAATTGCATCCCTGGTACCCCAGATTGCCCCCCAGTGCCCCACATCACCCCACAGCAGCCTCAGATGCCCTCACCAGGCTCTAACTTGCCCCACTGGACCTCAGTTTGCATCCCCAGTGCCCCCAGTTGCCCATGACGGGCCCCATATCGTAGTCCTGGTGCCCCAAATTACCCCCCGTGCCCCCAAATTACCCCCCGTGCCCCCAAATCACCCCTCCCATGTTTCAAATCACTCCATCAACCCCTGACTTGCCCAAAATCTTCCCCTGTACCTCAAAATGCCCAATTGGGCCCCGAATCACACACACCACCCCCCCCCGGCCGAGTACTCTGAACCACCATCCAGTCACCCCCCCATCTCACTGAACCCCAAATTGTCACCTGGTGCAATGGGGGCTGCCAGGGGCTCCCAGGCATCCTGCAGCCCCATGAAAACCTCGTGGGTCCTGGTGAGGTCATCAGGGGCCGAATCCACTGACCCCAAAACCCGTTGCTTTGGTTCAAAAACTTTTTTTTTTTTTTTAACAACTTTTAACATAGGCAGCAATAGCCGCTTCTGCCCCTCTGCTAGTGGCATGGAACGGGATCAGGGCTGGGAGGGGATGCGGCTGCTGGGGCGCTTGCCGGGTGTTTGCGGGGCTTGGAGAGGGACAAGATGGAAACCAGAAAAAAAATACACATCCGAGAGCCCTGAAAGTGGTTAAAGCTTAGAATGTTGCCTAAAAAAACCCCAGAAAATTAAGAAAGAAGGTGGATTGACACCCCAATACTTCAATTTAAAGCATTTCAGGGTTGCTGCTCTCCAGCCTCTTCCGGATCATCTCCATGAGGGAGTCGGAGTAGACACGGAGCAGTGCCAGGGTTTCGGGGTCTGGTGGTGGTGCCAGACCGTCAGTGCCGATGGCAGCGTCAACGTGGTGGGTCACGCTGCGGGAGCGCAGTTCGGCTTTCATCCAGCTGAAAAGGTCAGCCAGCGCAGTCCTCGCCTGGAGGAGGTCCTCCTCGGTGGCCTCGGCACAGAGGGTCATCTGCGGGAGAGGGGTCCCATCATCACCCTGATTCTTTGCTGGCTGGTTAAAGTGCTCCCCCCGCACCTCGGCTCTGAAATGAGCTGCCAGTGATGGGTTTTGGGGGGTCCAACTCCACAGACATGGCCAAAATACATCAACTGTTGGTCATCTGAGAGAGGAGAAGCAAACACCCCCCCCGAAACACTGAATTGGGGCAGGGGTCTCCCCCCATTTTTCAGAGGCGCTGACCTGGTCGTAGATCCCCAGCATCTCCTGGAAGCTGGTGTGCAGCAGCCGCAGGGCTGTGGTGAAGGTCTTGACCCAGAAGTGGGATCCTGTGGGCACCACGGCTGCCATTAGCCTTGTGCCCCCTCTGCTTTGGGAGGGGACAACAAAAACCCACCTCATCCCAATCTGGGAGGTGGTTTTGGGGTGAAGGAAGCCCCCCTTTGTCTTCAAACACACACCTGTGGGTTTTCCGGTGTTGGAGCCTGTTTCCTGTCCCGTTCCCAAAGCTTTTTCATCCAGCAGTTTCTAAAAAGTTGATGGAAGTGCCGCTGAGCCCGGCCCGAGGAAGGAAAATGCCTTTTTCTGCATGTTTCTTCCACAGATTTCCCCCTCCCTTAGGCAAAAAAAATGACTCGCCTCCGATTGTTGGAGCTCCTGGGATGTTTTTGACTGGTCCCTGACTGGCTCCTGGGCACGGGCAGGGCTGTGCGACCGGGGCCATGCCTGCAGGGGGAAGGTGGCCGCCAGCCTGCGGGACAAGAGGAGTTGGGAGTGGGAAACCGATTCCCCACTGGACAGACAGATGGACAGAAGCAGCACCCACTGCCCACCTGCTCTTCCGGCAGCGTGAGAGGAACCGGGCTGAAATGGTCAAGCGTGGGTTCAAGAACAAGTTTTTTTCCTCATCCTCAGGTTTGGGAGGTTTCAAATCCTTTAAGGAGCCGTCAAACTTCTCTGCAGCCACAGGGCAGGAAGCATTAGCTCTACCATCGCTGCAATCTGCCCAGATCGGCTGTGCCGAACACACCGGCACCGTCTGCCCACGGTTTCTCCCATTACCTTCAGTGTCTGCCAACGTCTCAAAGTGCTGCTTGAGGTATTTCTCCTGCTCGGGGGTCTGGGGCAGGGAGCTGCACTGCGGCAGGTTCTCCTCTGGCTCCTCCACCTCCCTGTCAGAGCCCGACGAGTCCTCGTCTGCCAGAATAGAGCCAGAAGGGAAAGCCACCATGACGGACGTTAGCACCAGGCAGTTTTTATTCTGATGTAAAGCCACCCCCTCAAGCTTTTTGCTCGGTCACGAGGGTTTAGCGCTGGCAAAGCTGGTGCTTGCGGCGCATTCCCAGAGCCCTGGCCGTGCTCCCAGCGTTACCTTCCAGCTGGTAGCAAGGCACCGGCGTTCCCAGGCAGGGTGAAACACAGGACGAGGTGTCCTCCTGGCTGACCCTGGGCTCCTCCAGGTACATGAGGTGCAGCGGCTGCTCCATCACATGTTGCCTTGAGGGAAGGCGAGCAGATCGGTGATGGCAGAGCATTGGATGCCACCACCAGGTCTGCGCTCACCATCGCTCCAAGCTGGCATGCGTGTGCCTGCGTTTGGGTGCTTGGCTGGGACGAAGTTGAGTTGCGCCCGAAAGGTTTCCCTCCCCTGACCTCGGCAGGGCTTTAGGGGCCTGGTGGGAGGTTTGGCATGAGCAGGGGAGCCCTGTCCTGCCAGGCTGGCGCCTTCCAACATTGCCAAAATGTTCTGAAATTTGGCTTGAAGGGAAAAGCCATGACGGGGACAAGGGTGCAATGGAGCTCAGCATGAGCCAGGACTCGGTGTGGTGATGTTAAGCAAAGCCTGAAGTAGCAGGGAGGGGTTGACTTAATACTGATAGTGAAACGCAGTGCTCGCTTCCCTGCCTGGCTACTGTCGGCTTCAGCCTGCACCAACCTGCTTGCCTTGGGCACGCGTGGCTCCTGCAGGCTGGTCCCGGTTGTATCTGGTGATTCTAGTCCCCTGTTGGTTTCCTCATCTGAGAAGACCTCGGAGAGCAAGTCCTCAGTGAGGTCGCTGGGAGAGCTCTTTGCCTGCTGGAGACAGGGAGCTGATGTCTGTAGCTGGATTTTTCCCAGAAAGATGGCCACTGGCAGCCAGCGGGTCTCCAGAAACGGTTAAAACCAGAGTCTGGCAAGGCCTGATGCAGGGTGCAGGATCTGGCCCCACAACTGACCTTTGAAAGCAGCTGCTCCAGGCTGCCAGGCTCATGTTCCTTGTCACTCTTGAGGTGGAGTTTGATGGGGGTGAAGTCAGGGAGATCCATCTCTGGCAAGGTCTTGATGGGAACCCTCTCAGCACGCTCTGCCCATCGCCCCTGTGGCCGGTAGCTTCCCCGCAGGCTGGCAGCCACTCCGTCCCCATCCTCCACCTCTCCCAGCTGGAAAAGGGAGGGGGGAAAGAAGAGAAGGGATCCGGTGGAGACAGAACAAAGGGATCTTCATCCGGCCCCGTTAAAGTAAAAGAAATTAAATTACATCTCTAGGTGTGGCCGTACAACTTACCAGCCTTTTTGCCCACATGGGCAGCCTGCTGTTGGTTAGGATGCAGGCTGGAGCTGGAGGGGGAGAGTGGGGTTAGGAGCTGCACCATGTGCTGCAGCCCTCTGAGGAAACGGGCAGAAAATGGGGTGCAGCCACAGAGGGACCCCGACCCACAACGCACGCAGCTCCGAGTCCTCCTTGCAGGGGGTCCGCAGGGATGAGGCCTCGTCTTGCTCCTCCTTGGGGTCTTCGTTGGAAGCTCTTCCGGCACCAGTGGCTGCCATCCCATCGGGGATCCTGATGTGGGTCTCCCATCTGGAAGAGGGGAGAAAGGTGGGGCCCCTGAGCTCCCTCCCACCCCAAAAGCCAAAAACAGGGGGAGATGTGGGGGCGAGGGGCTTTTCCCTGCTACCTGAACTGCGCCAGCGGACTGGTCTCCTTCGCCTGCTTCGGCTGCAGCAGGTCAAGCTCCAGCAAGTGTTGCTTCATGCTGCTGGTGATTTCCAGGTCCAGGTGCCAAATAAAGATGCAGCTGGGGGTAGAAAGGTGGGTGGGGGGTCAAATTGCCCCCAGATTTTGGATACAGGGCAGCGGGGGGCTTTACATTTGTCATGGTTTAACCCCAGCCAGCAACTAAGCACCATGCAGCCACTCACTCACTTCCCCCCCCCCCCCAGTGGGATGGGGGAGAAAATTGGGAAAAGAAATAAAACTTGTGGGTTAATAGAACAGAAAAGAAGAAACTAATAATGATAACGATAACATTAATAAAATTACAATAGTAATAATAAAAGGTCTAGAGTATACAAGCGATGCACAATGCAATTGCTCACCACCCACCGATTGACGCCCAGGTAGTCCCCAAGTGGTGATTCCCCCCCACTCCCCCCAGTTTATATACTAGATGTGACATCACATGGTATGGAATACCCCGTTGGCCACTTTGGGTCAGCTGCCCTGGCTGTGTCCCCTCCCAACTTCTTGTGCCCCTCCAGCCTTCTCGCTGGCTGGGCATGAGAAGCTGAAAAATCCTTGACCTGAGACTAAACATTACTTAGCAACAACTGAAAACATCGGTGTTGTCAGCATTCTTCTCATACCTAACTCAAAAACATAGCACTGTACCAGCTACTAGGAAGACAATTAATTCTATCCCGGCTGAAACCAGGACAACATTAAGACCCTTCATTAATTCAATGCACCTGAGCCCTCCAGTAGTGCCACCGCTTGCATGTACATCCCACCCAGCCAATTATTTTCCCATTGTGTCTTGCACGGCATCAAGGGTGAGAGGCGAGGTGTTTACAGCAAAGCATAAATTGGATTATTTCTTATGTCCATTGCCCCCTACCTGTCTCCTGAGACAGTGATGAGGTGCCTGCAGTCATATGTGAACTGCATCCCTGTGACTATTTCTGTGCCAAAAAGAAAGAAACGCAGAGGGGGTTGCTTGCCAGGACCACAATCCCCATGCTCATTTAGGAGATTGAAGTGACACAGTGGGGACATTATTGTGGGGTTTCATGGCCGAACAGGGGACAGGCAGGGGTAGGCAGAGCACTGGGGGCTTCCCAGCAGGTCTCTGCATCTCCCTTTCCAAGGGCACCTCCTGGATTTCTGAGAGGAACCGAACCTGAATGGCCGAACATTTTTGCCATGCATTCCCCAGAGTGGAAGTCAATGAGGGCGATGCTCTTGTCAGAGCAGCTCGTCGCCAGGAAGGTGCCGGAGGGATCCAGCTGTACCTGGGGGAGATGAGCCGTGGGTCAGGCTTGGCCGCAGGTGGGAAGGCAAGTGGAGCCAGGCAGCTTCATAGGAGCACAGAAGGGTTTGGGTTGAAGGGACCTTCAAAGACCATCCAGTCCAACCCCCTGCCATGGAGAGGCACATCTCCCACTCGATCAGATTGCTCCGAGTCCCATCCAACCTGACCTCGAACACTTCCCACAAGGAGGCATCCATAGCTTCCCTGGGCAATCTCCTCCGGTGTCTCACCACCCTTACCACAAAGAATTTCTTCCTTGTGTCCAACCTAACCCTCCCCTCTGTCAGTTTAAAGCTGTCGCTTCTTGTCCTATCGCTGCAGACCCTGGTAAAAGTTTCTCTCCATCTTTCTTATATTGAACAGCTGCAGTAAGGTCTTCTCTTCTCCAGGCTGAACAGCCCCAACTCTCTCAGCCTTTCTCCGCAGCACAGCTGCTCCAGCCCTTGAACCATCTCCGTGGCCTCCTCTGGACCTGCTTGAGCAGATCCATGTCTGTCTTGTGCTGGGGACCCCAGAGCTGGACGCAGGGTGGGGGTCTTAGTGGAGCGGAGCAGAGGGGGGGAATCCCCTCCCTCGACCTGCAGCCCAGGAGACGCTTGGCTTTCTGGGCTGCGAGCACATATTGCCAGCTCATGTCCCAGTTGTCACCCCCCTGCATCCCCAAGTCCTTCTTCACAGGACTGCTCTCCATCCATCCCTCCCCCAGCCTGTGCTGGGACAGGGGATTGCCTCCACCCAGCTGCAGGACCTTGCGCTTGGCCTTCTTGAATGTTGGCCAACTCCTTCAGCTCCCTCTGGATGGTAGCTCTTCCCTCAAGGGTACCAACAGCTCAGCCCCAAGCCCTTCAACACTGCCGACAATCCTGCCCCACCGCAGCCCCCCTCAACCCCGCACCGAGGGAGCTGCTGCAGATGCCCTGACGACCGATGTCTGGTGGAGATCACCTTCTTACCTTCAACAAGGAGCCGTCATCACCTTGCGAGCCCTTGTAGCAGCACTTCAGCTTCCCGCTGGCTGTGCTGTACACCCTGCAAGAGGAATGGGAGGTGGTCATGCTGGTGATGAGACCCGCGGGGCACTGGAGCAGGAAGGAGAAAGGTGACCTGGATGCGGATTCAGCCTGAGCCAGCATGGAAAAGTGCCTTCACCTGACATTTCTGTCCTGGCAGGCAACGGCAACGTATTTCTGCGTGATATCAATGTCCATGTCGTACAGTGTGGTTTTCTCAGCGACGTGATGCGTCCTAAGGAAATTGAAGCCATCCGGGAGCTGCAGGGAGACAGGGAGAGCCGCATTGCCTTCCAGCCTGTTTGATTTTCAGGGAGAAATAGCAGATCCCTGCAGAGAGGCCACTAACCCACCTTTTGAGCATTGCGGAAATAAATGCTTTTATCAGCACCGCAGCTTATCAGCTGAATGTCCCCGTTGCCTGAGCAAAGAGAGCACAGGGAAAGGCGATCAGAGATCACATCTGTTCCAAATTCACCACTGAGTGAATCCGAAAAGTGATTCTTTATGAATGAATCCATAAAAAACCCGATTCTTTTAAGAACTAGATGCAATCCAAGGGTGGGATCCTCCCCTACTATGTATCCCCTACAACGGATGGCTCGGAGCTCTTCGTCTGGAGATGCCTGTTTTCTACCGAGGACCCCCCTCTTATGCAGACTTTGAAGTTTAGGTAGATAAATCTGGAGAGAAAAGCCCTGTCTTTAAGGCAGAATGAGGTGAAGGGCAGCCTGACGGGGGGAATTTGGATGAAATTCGGCCACCTACCAGCAAATTTGACCGACGTTATCGCGGAGGAGTGATCATCCAGGGTTTGCTCCAGCTTGTAGTTCTTGTCTACATTCAAGACGTGGATCAGCCTGTCTCTGCTTGCCGAAGCCAGCAGTGCTGCTCCTGGAGCCGTCAGAAAAGAGGGTGTTAAAATAGTGCTGTGCTAAAGGCTTTTGTCAAGAAAATGGTGTATTTGCTGTCATTCCCTGCAAAGATTTTGATTTAAACAGGGTTTAAGTTGGCTGTTAAAGGGAGAGCAAATGGAGGTGGTTGCACAGGTCCTTCCCGCTGCCTGGAGGGGACAGTTACCCCCAGCACAGGTGATCTGGGTTTTAATCTGTGCAGCCCCAGGGCATGTCTCCAGCTTCCATGGCTTCTCAGAGGAGAGACCCTTCCCTGCAAAGCTCGTTTTTCAGGATGCCTTGGCTCATTTGGTGAAGAAGAAGCTTTCCCAGCAGGAAGAGCCAGTCACCAGGAAGCTGAGCCCCAAGGCTCTCCGGTGATGCCCGAGGACTTATCCAGTGGCAGCTTTCAGGCATCAGTGTCAGGATGAAGCCTTACCGGTCTCCGGTTTTGAATACTCCAGGCAGAGAACTTCTGAATCGTGAGCTTCCACTTTAGCCACCTGCTGCATGAACTGCAGCTCGTGTATCCTGCGAGGGAAGCGCATCATTGGCTTAGCTCCCAAAAAACAGGGAAGTTTTGCAGGAACACTGTTGACACACGGTGAGGGGGCTTGGAGATGCTCACAGCAAAAGGTAAACAGCTAAACCACATTGGTGGGAGCCCACCCCGGTACCCAACCGCCACTGTCCTTCTGTGGCTTTTGGCCGAGCGCGGTGCCACTTGCCTGAGGGTTCCTCCTCTGTCCCCCGATGCCAAATGCTCCCCATCAGGGCTGACCTGCATCACCCGCACCCCAGACTTGACATCAAGGTGACCCACATTCTCGCTTCGGTCGGGCGCGGTGGAGGAGTCCTGGAGGTGCTGTGTGTTGTTGTCCACATAGATGATGTTCAGCAGGGTCTTGGTGCAGGAGGAGAGGGGACAGTCAGGCCCCTGGCAGAGCACAGGTGGCTCTTTGGGGACAAGAGGAGCCCACCCACATCACCCAACTGCTTCCAACATTCCCACTTCATTTTTCCCGGCTTCCTGCTCAGAAAACACCAGGATTTGAGCAGCACAACTGTGTCCTCTGGTTGTTCAGACAGAAATAGCAAGTGCAGGGGAACAGAAAGCCGTTTCCAGGCTCACTAAAATCACCAAAACCCACCGCTCCTCTCCCACTCAGGCAGCAGCTCTGTACCCAGAGCGCCAAGAAGCTGATGGAAACCACTCCGAAATCTCCAGCAACCTCATTTTCTAGAGGCAAATCCCACAAGATGAGAGCATGAGGAGCCGGTTGTGCTCCCACAGCTGCTGACATGGTTTTTCAGGGGGCTGCCTTGAGCAGGGAGGTGGGATGCAGCCCCCCCACATTGTACCGTGCTGTAGGTGCTGCCCTGGATGGGGCGCACAGAGCTGCTTTCCAAGGTCCAGGCGCGGATGGTGTTGTCCGAGGAACACGTCAGGAAGGAGCCAGGAGGCAGACAGGATCTCCGCTCCTCAAATTCGGGGTACACCTGCACCCAGAGGGTTATGCGTCAAGGCAGAGGGGAAGGAAAGTGGGGCTGTGGGTGCCCCAAATTGTCCCCGTGGGACCCGCTTGCCCTCACCTCAACGGTCCAGACGAAGGAGCTGTGGAAAAGATCTGACCACACCTTCCTGACGTTCTGCAGGTCCCCAACATCCCAGATGTAGATGCTGTGGTCCTTGTAGACACAGGACAGCCAGCGGTTGCAGGCGTCGTAGGCCAAGGCAATGGTGTCAGGGTAGACCAGGTCTGGCTGCCTTCAGGGAGAGGGAGATGGGGTCAGGTCGTGTCCCAAGGGAGCGGCATTTTGGGGGCTCGACCCCTCCAGAGCCCACCAAGCAGTCCGCCAGAGGCAGATTTGATTTGCAAATGAAATGACATCCGTATCCCAACAAGCAGCATGAAGTCTGGGACTCCCCACCCCCTGTAAGCCTGACACCACCCTCACGTCCTCGCTGTCCTTTGCCGTGCATAAAATCGGTCGCCAATTCGAATCTCGGCTCAGACCTCCATCAAGACAAGCTCGCAGGCTGAGCAATGAAAGCCATGGGGTCTGAAAACCCACAGTTCAGCGACGGAAGCCACGACAGACAGTTCAAAAGGGCAGACAGAGGGGTCCCTGCCATCCCCTCAACTGTGCAGTACCTCAGTGGGGGGGCCTGGGTGACATCCACACCCAGGGGATGAGGTTTGGGGAGATCGCTCAGGTAGCGCATGTCACGAGCCTGGAAGATCCTCACGGTGCCATTGGCGCAGCCGCAAAATATCAGCTCCTCACCAAGGCAGAGGCAGTTTGCCAGCGGCACCTGTGGCAGGAGCAGGTAAGGTCCCTGCCAGTGGGCTTCAGCCTGGGGGGTGTCCAGTGGATATCACCCCCCCCACCCACCTTCAGAACGATCCATTTCTCCAGCACCCGCTTCTTGTTGAACTGGCAGAGCAGCCCCGAGGAGGAAATGCAGAAGGTGCTGCCCAACATCTGCCCTCGGCCGCAGGCAACGCCGCAGAAGACGTTGTCATGAAGCTCTCCCAGCAGCCCCGAGCGTCCCACCAGTGGCACCGTCTCATTGATCTGCAAAGCAGGGTAGCGCCGTCAACCTGACATTAACGAGCGTTAATGAAGGAAACGGTTCCTAGCCCTCTGGAGTAGGCACGGCCCTGGACATAGGCAGTGTCCTCATGCCCACACGCGTTCCCCAGCAGAGCTGCCATGCAACCACGGGCTCTCGCCAGTCAGAGCTTCACCAGCTCCGGGCTGAGCTGAAGCGCCTGTGGCTTCAAGGTCCAGCACCAGGTGGATGGAGCAAAGCAACGTCCAGGTATGACACAGCATGAATTATGGGGGGAAAACCTGGCATTTCTTCAGTACTTTCTACAGAAACCACCCGCTCCAACATCACATAAGCTTCAGTGACAAGGATTTAAGCAGAGTCCAGCCCTAGTCCAGCTTCCATTGGCCACCTGTGGCCTGTGGGACGGTGTCAGCAAAGGGGACCCCCTCACCTTCAGCTCCCTTGACGAGTCCAGGAACCAGAACTTGACGTGGCGGTGCCCCACGGTGACGAAGTAGCTGTCCTCAGAGAAGGACACAGCCGTCACTTTGCAGGACACCTTGTTTGATGCGACCAGGGAATCCTTCTGCTCAGAAAGAAAGATGCAGTGGGGTCGTGCACAGTAAGCATTACCCCCACAAAAGTCTGGACCCACGAGTGACTGGGAGAAAAGATGGAAAAGGTCTGTTTTCCCTGCGATTTGGGGAATTTCAAGCTGCTTTAAGCCAGCTCGGTTTGGCCGGAGCTCACCTTCCAGTCCCAAACGTTGACCACCATGTCGTGGGGGTACCCCACCGACACCAGGTACTTGGCGCTGGGGGAGAAGGCAACACAAGCCACACCGTGCTTGTGACCATGCAACGCCAAGACCTGCGCCCGTTCCTCCACATCCCACACACGGACGGCTGGTCGGTGCCCGTTCTGAGTGGGGAAAACAGCGGTGTGGCGGCAGCTTTCCCCTTCTCGCCCACTTCCCATGGCCACCCATTGCGCCCTCCGACCCTAAAGGGTATTCCCACCCTCCCAGTGCCATCCCAAAGTGAGTGGAAAACCCCTAAAAAGCCGGGGAGGAATAATCCTAGCTACTCCATCCCGCTGGTGCTGGGACAGCGAAAACTGGGGTGCAGGTGACTACAAATAAGTGGCACCCACCTCTCCAGTGACAATGAGCTTCCCGTCAGGTGAGAAGGCCAATGCACTCAAGGTTTTCCTGGAAAATATTGGGTTTTCTTTAACAACTAGGCTGCTCTGGAGGGAAAACTGAGATTTTCTTGGGAGAAGGGAGGAAAAATACTGGAAGCTGCACAAGTGTCGCTCCTGAAACACAGTGTACAGTACAGCCTGTGTTTGGGGATACCTGGAAGGTTTGGAAGGGTATTTGGGGGTGTTTAGGGGTAGGTATCCAGGGTATCTGGAGGTATCTGGGGATACCTGGAGGTGTTTGGGGGTACTTGGGGGTCCGTGAAGGTATTTGGGGGTACCTGGAGGTGTTCAGAAGGTGTTTGGGAGGTCCCTGGAAGTGTTTGGGGGTACCTGGAGGTGTTCAGGAGGTGTTTGGGGGGTCCCTGTAGGTGTTTGGGGAGTTGCTGGAGGTGTTCAGGAGGTATTTGGGGCATAGCTGGAGGTGCTTGGGGGGTACCTGAGGTGTTTGGGGATACCTGGAGGTGTTCAGGATGTGTCTCTGCGTGTTCTCCCAGGGATTCAGGATGACGACAACACACCTGGATAGGAAAGGGGGAGGTTTTTCCTTGGGTGGGCTTTTGGGGGGCTCAGAAGGGTCCCGGAGGGGGGGGTCCCCACAGGTACTCACCCGGCGGGGTAGGCGAGCAGCCCTGTGGTTGGGTCGCAGGCCAAGCTGCTGCTGGTCTGGGCGGTGATTCCCAGCACCTTCTCCAGTGTCACCTGGGGGAGAGGAGGAGTGGGACCCCCGGGCATGGGGCTGGAGGAGGCAAGGGGCAGATGAGTGTCCCCTGAAATTGGGGGGGGGGGCGGAGGCATGCGGCTGGGGTGAGACCCTGAGCCCCCAGGGGTGTCCCTGGGGCAGCACCGGGCACCCATGGGCCCCTCGGTGTCCCACCCTTCGTGTCCCGATCCCCTCACCCTCGTGGGGGAACCCCAAAGCCAACCCCGGCTGGAAGCGCTGCCCA